CGTTGAGGTGGAGATGAATCATATTCGTGAGCTTTATGGGGAAATTCGGCACCTAAGTCGTCAATCATCTGCGGACATTGAAAACCACCAGCGGAAGACTTGGGAAACCGGTGACTCTAGGAGGTCAGCAGGCAGCTTTAAAGGCGCAACCGTACGTGTCGCGGTATTACTGTCCGTACCGTGCTATCGACTAACTCTCGCTCGCTTCCTCATAAATTTGACTAACTTGCATGACTGTTGCATGAAAACGGGCTGAACCACACGGTTGTTGCCATGTTTCGGGGATCATGGCCGAATGCTAATATGGACGATGGGGTGTCGGCAATTCCTGACTACACTGAGTTCCATGCCGACAGAACAGGGAGTCGTACCTCATGCGGAAGAAATGTCATTACTTGCATACTGGTACATTACTGAGCGTAGAGTTCGAATAGCAGGAGGAAAAAAGAATTCCAGCTCAACATGATCCATCCTACGACATGCTCGATATCTGACACCTTGAGCCCGCGCTGCGCGAAGCTGTTTTGTAGCGGCTTTGAGAAGTTTTCGGTCGCCGACCAGATGACCATTATCCGGCTGAATTTCAGTATACCGATTGCCGCAGTGACGGCGAACATACCTCATTGCTTGGATTGGACTGATGCTCACCCCCATCTGCGAAATTTACCTATTTCTATAACAGCATCGAACGCCTGACGATTCGCTGTCGTCCAGTCTCGATGTGACTCTTCAAGCATGTATTGGTCTGCAACCTGTACATCGGCTCGGACAGTCGACCAGTTGCGTTAATCTCATTTGTGGGCATCTTCAAAACGCAGTTCGTACTTTGGGGCAAAGACTACATGACAATAGTCTCTGAAGATTTGAAACAAAGGGACCCAGCGTTTCTTCAAGAGCTAGGTCTCTTGGACCTTGTCCATTTTTCAACGCGGTTGAATGCAACAAGAGACCATTTTTTTCACAAACTGCACAGACATGTTTTGCGTACATCAACGTGCAACCACTGTTTCTGCTGATCACTGCATTATTCAGACTGTGCCTCACGTTTTTCCAAAACGATAAATGAAAAAATTCTGGAGCGGACGGCGATCATCAATACGCACCCGTTTTCTCAGAAGGAGTGGTTACACGTCACCACTGTGAGCCTGGCATAACAGATGACCAATCCCGACATCAATCACAACGTAAACTTGCCTACGGCAGACCTGAACTTTGTCCTTGACACGTGCTGTGTGCGGAAAAGAACCTTCCTCCAAGCTGCTATCGATATTCCGAAGTACGGAAACGATACTGTCGTTTGAAACGATAGAAAGAGGAGTCGAGAAGTTCTGACAGAGTGACATGCAACACCTCATCCTGGCTATTCAAATCCAGATTCGTCAGCTAAACGCACTGATTTTCTGTCTTAAGTTCAATGCAACCTCGCCAACTGTGGCAGGAGTTGAGGACTCATCTTTCCGCTTACAGAAATTGATCCATTCTGGCTTCAATAAATGAATAAACTTTTCCTCCATGACGAGAACAGAGACCTCGTTTCGTCATTTTTCTTGGAGATGAACGACTGGCCAAGCACAGAAACAAC